TTTTTTTTTCTTATAGATATATTTAATTATTTGTAACAATTATAATTCAAAGAAAAATTTATTGCTGAAGTAAGATTAAACGATAGTTTGTTTATATTCTTTTTTTTGTTGTTCTAGAAATAATTGAGTAATTGTTACAGTTGTTGTTGAACAAAGTCATTATTGGTAAGATAAAATCCAAACGTAACTTTATTCAATTCTTTTTTTCCTTGTAGATACATTTAATTATTTGTAACAATTGTAATTCAAAAATAAAGATATTTATTGCTGAAGTAAGATTAAACAATAGTTTGTTTGTATTCTTATTTTTTTGTTGTTCTAGATATAATTGAGTAATTGTTACAGTTGTTGTTGAACAAAGTCGTTATTGGTAACGTAAAATCCAAAAATAACTTTATTCAATTCTTTTTTTTCTTCTAGGCATATTTAATTATTTGTAACAATTATAATTTAAAAAAGAATATTGCTGAAGTAAGATGAAACAACAGTTTGGTCGCATTCTTTTTTTTTGGTGCTCTAGATATAATTGAGTAATTGTTACAGTTTTTGTTAAACAAAATCTTTATTGGTAAGATAAAATTCAATAATAATATAGTTGTATTGTTTTTTTTTGTTGTTCTAGATATAAATCAATAATTGTTATAGTTATTGTTGAACAAAATCTTTATTGGTAAGGTAAAATCCAAAAATAACTTTATTCAATTGGTTTTTTTTCTTATAGATACATTTAATTATTTGTAACAGCTATAATTCAAAAAACAAGATATTTATTGCTGAAGTAAGATTAAACAACAGCTTGGTTGTATTCTGTTTTTTGTTGTTCTAGATATTATTCTTGATTTGCTGCAGTTGTTATTGTGAAAATAATATTATCAAGGTACTGTTGAAAAATAGTATTACTAAGTTTTTCGGTCTTAAATGTCTTTCGAAAAATACTATTCCAATAAAATAATTGCTCAACGAGAAAAGCGTGCTGAAAGGAGGAAGCAGGCAAGTGCTCTTCCATCAGATACTTCATCATCAGATTCAGACGATTTTGCTAGTGATGCAACTAATTGTCAATCTTCGATTCGGGCGGATAATGTATTAGCATCTACTACATCCAATTATATGGATCTAGTTGATTACACAGCAGATGAACACGATAATGTTGATGAAGGCACAAGTGTTCCCGATGATTCTCCTCGTCTTTTTTCAAATAGCTGCCATACAGTTGTCGCCGCGACAACGTCTCTTATGCAGTTTGCTGTAGATGCTAATCTTGATAAAAGTCATACGATTAAATTGTTGAAACTGGTTAAATCATTATTGCCGCAACCGAATGGTTTACCGGTGTCACATAAAAATGTTCTTAAGATATTTGGTCGTACAAGCTCATTTTCAACAAAATACATCTGCGAGCGTTGTGGCTATGACACAACCATAATTAAATGTGGTATAAAACGATGCTCGAATTCTCAATGTTTATTTTCTAATCAAAATTTAGTCAATAGTCGTGTTACGGAAATTGTTACTATGGACATTCGCTCCAGTCTTCATGCAATTGTTAAACGGAACAGTAAATTAATTCTTGATAATAAAAATTTAACTCCTACTGGAGATATTGTCAATTTTGCACATTACATTAAAAACAATAAAGAAAAAAAAGTGAGTGAAAAATAAAAATTTGATACTAAATATTCTTTTTGAAAAGCGTTCAAAGTTTGCCACTTATAATTCGAAGATTCTTTCAGGAACATGATCGAGGCTAAAAAGAAATGAAGCGATAATCAGTTATCATTTTTAAAATTAGCTACTTATTCAGCCATTTCTGATAAAGAAATTTTTTTCAGAAAATATGTCTACGATAAAATTAAATTGTCTTTTTTTCCTTTTCTTATAGGAGCGTACATTGACATTGCTTTTACATGCAGATGGAGCTCCACTTGTTCGCAGTTCTCGGCAAAACCTTTGGCCGTTGTTCGCAAGTGTTATCGAGATTCCTCCACCTGTCCGTGACTACCAACGTAATATTCTTATTCTTGCTTTATGGTCGAGTCGAAAGAAACCCGACATTGACATTTTTCTTGATGGTACTATTGCACAACTTCAAACTCTTATGAAATATGGTACAACTATTTGCTTAGACGAACAAGAGTATCACTTTATTGTTCGTATACAAGGTTTTCTTGCTGATCTTCCAGCTAAATCACTGTTTTTGAAGACAATCAATTTCAATGGAAAGTATGCATGCACGTGGTGTCTTTCTCCTGGTGAGTTAGCTATCTTTTGTTGGATTTGTAGGGATTTTTATAATCTCTCTCATTCGTTTGAAGTAAAATTTTTGTTGTTTATTTTTGTATTAGGTGAATATAATTCAACATGTCGTAGCATGTTGTATCCATTTGAAAAAAATGACAATACATTTCGAACACATGATGAATTTCTGCGAAATGCCCGATCAGCAGCTTCAGAAAGTGATCGGACTGGTCATGAGATAATCATTAATGGTGTACGAGGCATTTCACCTTTGCTCTCTATTATTGAATACCCAGTTTCTGTTCTGTATGATTACATGCATCTTGTATGTTTAAATCACATTTCAACATTAGTTAAACATTGGAAAGTTCTTTTAAATCAGACTGATCTTTCATTAATCGATGAACGATTGTCACAGCAACGAGTCCCCCACAACATGAACATTCGTTTTGATTTTTCCATTACAGAGGTGCATCAATGGAAGGCTAAACATGGTCGTCTGTTTATCCTCTACATTGGTCTTCCAATTTTAATTAACATCTTGCCTTCATCACATTTGTTTCATTTTGCTGCTTATGCATTAGCTATAAAACTTCTTCATGCACCTGAGAATCAAGCAGAAATTGATTTAGCTGAACAATTAATACTTTTTTATTGTCAATCGTCATCATTGATTTATGGTTCAGCTATAGAATTATATGGTTTACACAGCCATCTTCATTTAGCACAGCAGGTGCGACATCATGGAGGATTATCATATACTTCAGCATTTGCATTTGAATCATGTATTAGATATACCAAAAAGAAAGCACATGGTAATCGAAATTTAGCATCACAAATTAGCTATTGGACTGATATGGTATCAATTATTAAACAATCTCAATCAACCATTCAACAATCACATGGTGTTGATGAAATTTTCCTTGAAAGTCATCTGCTTGAAGAATTTCGAACAATTCTGGCTGAATATCTGGGATCTCGTAAAGTGAAGCTATACAAACGTTTCAAGATCCCATTCATTACATTTCATTCCATATTGTATGATAAGCCATTTAAATGTGTTAGCCACATAATTTCATACAAACACAAGAATAATGATAGTATTCTTTATGCCGATTGTATCGTATTTGTCGAATTCAATAATGAATACTATGCTTTTATTAATAAATATCGTGAAGAAATGCCGCATAATCGTTTATCATCTCTGATACAACTGTCTGATAATGATAATTGCAAAATTAGTGTACCACTTGATCGTTTATATTCAATACAAATAAAAACTAATTCTTTTGGAATAATTTCAATGTCGAGAGTGAGACATAAGTGTATTGCGGTTCCAATAAGAAACTTTTTTTGTATAATCGAGATTAGGAATGATTTTGAACATGATTAGTTGTCTATATTAAAAAAATAGTGTGTTCATTTATTTGATTTTTTTTTCTTTCTAGAAATTTCACCATGTCTTCTTCATCTTCTATTACCAACAACAAAACCAATATGTTTTTTAAGAGTGGTATGGCCGGTCGTATATTTCCGTGCCTCAATAATAATAGTCAATCATCTTCATTATTGTCGACATCGGTTACCGACAAACACTCGAAAACAACTGAAAGTATGTTTTATCTTTCTTATCTTGAAAACTGATTTGTAATTGTTATAACATATGAAGATTCAACAACAACTATCTGTACAGCAAAGAATTCAGATCCACCTGCTGGTAAATTTTTATAAATTTAACTGTAGTATAGTTTTTTTTTCAAGAAAATTGTCCTATTCGAAAAAAAAAATTATCTCATAATGAAAAGAAAACAACAGCACCACATGTATCAGGTAACATCTTTTCTTTGTAATTAAATATAATTAAAATAAGTGAAGCACTGTTAGTTTAAGACATATTTTTTCTACTTGTCAGAATACGATATAATCTTATTATTTAGTTGATCAACTTAATGATTTACTTTGTAAAAACGTACTTGATTCACAATCGATCGATGTCATTGAAACTGATGATGAACTTGATTTACCTGATGAACATAATGAAACATCATTATCATCACAACCACTGCCATTAACACCAGGCACGAAACGTGCATTTAAAGGAAGTTCATCTGTAAGTAAATCATATATATTGACTTGAGTATATCTCGAAACAAACGTACACAAGATTTGACAGTAAAGGTTTTGGTTCTGTCACTGTAATGAGTAAGCTAGCCAAGGAGAAAACAACAGAGACTTCACTCTTGAAGTCTCATGAAGTCTAAATGTCTTGTGAAGTCTTTTTGAGATCTCGTGAGGTCTTATGAAGTGATCTGAAATTGCACAAAGTCTTTTGAAATCCTTTGAAGCCTTCAAAAATCTCCTGAAGCTCAATGAAGTTTATCGAAGTTCCATAAAGTCTTCTGAGCTCTTAAGCTTTACTTTTTCCTCCTCGATCATTACTCTACCAGGAAGAAGAACATTACAAAGTATATAAACAATAAAAAAACATTAGCAATTAGGAGTAGACGTGAAAATTCATATATAAACGCTTTGCGTGTAAAAAGCTGCTATAAATGCATACCGTCTAATAATAAAAAGTGCATGACGAAATGGAAAATTTTTCTAAAAATCATATGATGATGTATTAATGAAAAGGATTAGTTGCATATAATCTGTATATTGGAGAGAAGGGAAAACAAATAAACTAGCAGATACTTCACCTGGATAATTGAAATTACCATCGTCGATTTTACTGCATGTTGTTGATGATTTAGGCCATATCAGTATCGGTTAAAAGGTCTAAAAACAACATGAAAACAAAAGATCGTATCAATAAAGAAGAAGAAGATGATGATGATTGTTATGATGAATACTCATCTTTTCAAAAGAATGTTATAACAAAACTTAAAAGAAATGAAGTTGATGGACAACACAGCAGACGAATGTTCGAACAGCTTCTTGTCTATCATGAAAAAAATGAAAAAACTCAAAAAACGATCCTGGAAAATCAAAAGAAGATAAAAAAAGCTCTGTTAAAATATAAAGTGAGTCTTGGTGATTCCGACAGTTTTCACAATACCTTGTTTCATTTTAGATCTACGTTGATATTGATGATTCAGGATTACCTACAGATGATTCTCAAATAAGTAATATGGAAAACACGTTTCCTTCAGAATTAGTAAGATAGTACTATTATCAATGACCATACGCCTCTTTTTAATTCTATAGGTTTATTCAACTGATGATGGTAAAACGTATTTCAATGTATTATTGATTACCGGTGATCGAACAAAAAAAAAATCTATATGCATTGAAACTAGTCGATCAACTTTTTACGCGTGAAGAACTTCTTGAACTTGATCCAATAACAAAAAAACAGGAACTTATAGAACATAAAAGTTATGCATTTATAAAAGGTATGTTTTAGTTCTTCGAATTAATGAATTGAATATCTTTTTTTAATTCTAGAAGCGATTAGATGCAAGTTCCAATTAACTGCACAACAACTTGAAATCGAATGGCCAAACATTCATGAAGCAATATTAAATAAACGACGAAATTGGAAGAAAATTACACCACTTTCTACTACACGTACATCACCACTTTCTGCTACACGTACATCACCATTTTCTACTACACGTACATCACCACTTTCTGCTACACGTACATCACCACTTTCTACTACACGTACATCATCAATTTCTACTCGAGACTCGAATGAGTCTCATGAATGATGGTCGTCGTTAATGTGATTATATATGACAGTTGTTTTTTTCTCTACGTTGTACTAAAAAGGTGGTCTTGTACTCATTCTCATATTTTATCTAAGTGTTTGTTTGTTTTCCTCTAATTGTGTGAACATTACTTTTAATTGCTGATCCAGAAATTGTTTTATGTAAACATCTCTAGTCATTGTTATTATTTGTGTGCTTTTTAACTCAGTGATGAACTAGGTTTTTTTGTTACGTCGTGTGAAATTGTATGTTCGTCATATTTTGTATGTCTTTTATGTGAAGCTGATAATAAATTAATAAAAGATTATTGAAAGCAATTTTTTAATATAAGTAAATTAATAGAAATCATTGGGTACTAATGTCATATGAACTCAATAAAAACCGGCGGATAACCGCGAAAAATCGGCGGTAACCGCTCAAAAACCGTCGGTTAACCGGCGGTAAACTCTTCAGTTATACGATCGGTATACCGCCGGTTAACCGGCGGTTTTTTAGCGGTTCGTACCACATGGG